ACACACACACACACACACACACACACACACACACACACACACACACACCACCACCACCACCTCCACGACCCCTCCCTTGCACGCCCCCGCCCCCCGCCCCCCTCCCCTGCACCTCTCCCTCGCACTCCTCTGCCACCGCGGCATGTCCCCGCCCTCGCCACCCGCCGCGCCTCCTCCTCTGACTGGCTGGTGCCCGCTCGCAGGCTCGCGGTCGGGCCCCGCCTCTGTGTACTATGGCCGCGAGCCAACGCCGCCGCCGCTCGCCGCCCCCGTGGCCTCCGCCAGCCGAGCCGCGGCCGAGCCAGCAGCACCATCCTCGCCACAGCCGCCGCGGCGCCGAAAAGCGACGTGAGAGTCGGCGCCGGGGCGAGAGAGACGAGGCGGCGAGTGCGGCGGCTTGCTGAGCATGTTGAGGCATGAGTGAGATCTAGTGGGAGAGGGGAGAGGCGAGGGTGTCGAGAGACTGCAGCGAGGGAGCGAGGGTCCCGTGTGAACTCTCGCGCGTGCCGCTTCCCGCTTGCTGCGATCTAGCTTCTTGGGAAACGATGCATCGTGTGTGGTCGATGGCCGTATATAGAAGGTACCCCTACAAGGCGATTCTGAGAGCGCGCGCCGGAATTTTGCACGCCTTTTTTCAAAGAAATGAGCAGGTGTTTGTGTCCGCGTCTCAATTTGTGAAGAGAATTTGTGTGCGGGCCGGGGGCTGTGCCCAGTGGCGTTTTTGCGTTTTCAAATGCGTTTTCCCATTTCTTCTGACTGTCGGTGCTGTCTCCCCCTTCTCTCGACTGTCTCGCCTTGTGGAGCCGACGTCGAGCTAACTGCGCGCTCGGCGAAAGAGGTGCCTGCGCGCCAACCACACCCGCCCGCGCCGGTGTGTTTTGAAAGTTGATTTGACACCATTTTCGGTATACATTAACCTCGCGACCCCGGGGGGGTGCCATTGTGTGGCCCAGAGATGGCGTGCACCACCTGGGCCCTTACAAAGAAATGTTGGAGCAGGTGTCTGAAACGCAAAAAATGCGGGAACTTTGTCTTTGAAAAGCAAAATCATTTTGGCATTTGCCGAATTACGCGCGATTTGGGCATTTGGGGGGGGCTCTATAGAGAGGCGTTTAAGAGATTCATGTCCTCTTGTCCTCCCAATCGCGTCCCCGTCCGCACACGCGCATCCCCTTGCCGCATCGCCCTCCCTTTTTCCTTGACCAGTCCTTGACATTTGAAATGAGTTGCAGTTGGCACTTGCGACTCGGTTTGGAGCACTTGAGCGGGTTGGCTGTTACCTGTTTCTTTGTTCTTCTGGTACCTCGTGTGTCGAAGCTCGAACATGTGTGCTGTGCGAGAAAATGGTGGTTGAATTCTTTCTTGTTTAAGAGATTGCCATTTAAAAGGTGTTGAGTCCACAAAACTTCGTTTCATGCAGTGGTCAGCCCGACTCGCTGAGCAGGCGACCGGGCTGCACCGCCTGTCGGTCCGCGGAGATCAGATCACGCCGCCAGACGGCCCCGCCTCTCCCACTCTCCACAACGGCAGGACCAGCCCAGCAAAGCCGCGCATCTTTGTCGACTCGCGGTCGCAATCACCGACCCGGGGGGGCACATCTGACGACGACCAGCTATGGGGCTCGGTGCCCGCGTGGAGCTCTTCGGGGTCCAGGTTTGTGTCGCCAGGGGCAAACGGGTCGCCAAAGGGAGTGCTGATGCGACCGCCGAGTGCACTTCAGTGGGGGCAGCCCCTGGCGGGATCGGGAAAGCGCCCTGCGACCGCAAACCGCGAACCTACGTCGCCAACCAATTTGTGTTTGAAGCGCCCGTCTACCGCCAGCACGGTGCGTTCATCGACAGCAACGGTCCGCTCCCCCGCTTTTTCGAACTGGCTCCGCCCTAGCTCGGCCCCGCAGCAGCAACTGCAGCAACAAAGCCAGGTGTCGGTTGCCAATTGGCTCTTTAGCGCACCGCTGCCGCTTCACCGCGACGCGCCGACGCACGATACAGCGCGTCACCGAGCACCAAAACGCTTGACAAAGGGCGAGGGCGCCTCCCGACTGACCCCCCAGGCCCAGCGGCCTCCGTCTCCCGCCTCTCTCGAGGAGGCCCCGCCACGCTGCTCTTCTCCAAGCGCACTCCGGACGTCGCAAAGGCCGGTTCGCCGGCCAAGCTCCCCGGCGGGCCGCTTGGAGCCTTGGTGTATTCCGACGGTGGACGGCGCCGGCGCCGATGCCGATGTGGTGACGACGCTCAGCGTGAGTCCGAAGGCACTGCACCGAACGGTGGTGCTGTGCAAGCCCCCAGTCGCAGCGGCGGCAGAGCGGTGGCGACCACGGAGCAAAGGGGCAATCTTCTGAGAAGCGCATGCCTCGGCAGCGACGCTTCGGACTCGAGCCCCCCGCAAGCGCAGCGCTATGGGCGCGACGTGTCCGTGTGGTGTTGTGGCCACCTCACCGACTAGCTGCACGCACGTAGACGTACACACAATATCTCTATCGTTTCGGCAAGCAATCGAGGAGCTGGGCCATGGACTTGACGGAGTCCTCTGGGAGTGTGTGGGGAGATCTCAGCGCACCAGAGCAGTATCGGCTATCGGACAGTTGCCAGTTCGCACCCCCCCCCCCCCCGAAGTGCACATTTAGTGCACGCCAACAGCAGGAACAGCGAACTCACGCCCCACACACGTGCAGGTACTCCCATAAATAAATAAATAAAACGGACACCTCTACTAGGAGATGGGTAAAGGTACTCCCATGGTATACGTATGGAGGAGAAGTTTCTCCGAGACCTCACGAGCGGACAGATGTCCTCTTGCCCGTGCAGTCCACGACGTTGGGGGATCGGCGAACAATAAATAAATTAAAAACGGACACCTCTACTGTGAGATGGGTAAAAAGGAACAGGTCCCCGCCCTTGCGATCTGTGTGCAGGGTTCTTTGTGGGTGTGGTCGGCGACTAGCCGGGGTCGTCGCAGGCACTGGTTTTATTGTAGAGTCGGTGGTGGGGGCCGATGCTGTCGTAACGTGTCGTGTCGTGCGGCCCGGGCGGTCAAGGTCGCGGACCCGGTAAGCGGTATCTGAGATATGGAAAACAGCGCGATTGCTACAAGTACAAGTACAACCGTTCAACTACAAGTGTCAAGCGGCTGAAACATGGTGTGCCGAATATTTTTGTAAACGGATTTTGACATTCTCGCCTTAGGGGCCCCCTAGGCTTAAAAGGGTGGGCCCTGGGGCGCCTGCGGCTTAAACGGCTTAAAACCGGCCTAGGCAAGTTTGAAGAGCTGCTGGGACGCCGATTCCTTAAACGGTCTTAAACGCTTAAACGGTGCGGGAGAGGCTCCCGACGTCGATGGTCCGGGAGGCTCCCGGCAGACGCCGGAGGCTGGGAAGCTGGCTACAGTCAGCTAGCACGCGTCCCCTATGCGAGTATGGCTCCTACCAGTGCACCAGACTTATTACAGATGTGTCTTCAGAGGCGGGTTTGTGCCTAATAACGGCAGTATTGGAGAAAACGGCGCGTAACCCAGCGACGCAAATGCCGGCGAGGCCGATTTTCTTAAACGGTCTTAAAGGAAAAGAAGGGTCCCCCGTGCCTGCAGTCTCTTAAAAGTTAAATCCCCCCCCCCCCCCCCCATCAGCACAGGTAGGTACTAGTGAGGACAGGTCTGCCACCCACCCCCCACAGAGATTTCACATGGCGAGGGAGCCGAGCTGCTCCTTGGCGCCCTCGAGGCGACCCTTTTGCATCCCGAGCCCGTACTTGACCGACCCCTTGGCCAGCATCGCCTTGATCACCGCGTCGGGCGGCACGCGGTCGCGGATGCAAACCTCGATCAGCGCGTCCGAGACGATCAGCGCGTCGAACCCGAGGTCGCGTGCCTGTGGCGCGGGCGCCGGACGCCTCGGAGCGGGCTGCGGCTCTCGACTCGCAAGAGAGGACACGAGCGGCGCCTTCCACGCTCCACGCACGTCCCGCACGCGCACGTCGCAGATCGAGCGCACCTGCGGGGGAGGGGTCCGGGACGGGTCAGGGAGGGGCTCAGGCCGCCTCGCACGCGCGCGTCGCGGGCCGAGCGCACGTCCTTTGGCAGCTCGGCGACCAGCTCTCCCGCCTGCGGCAGCGAGCAGTCGCCTATGCAGAGGAGCTTGGCGCCGAGCGAGAGGGCGGTCGCCACCTCCTCCGCGTTCGCCACGCGCACCGCCGACTCGAGCCCGTACCCCGCTGCCGCCTCCATGAGAGCCTTCGTGCCCTCTGCCCCGTTGAGCTGCAGGGAGAGGGTGGCGGCGCTGGCGCCGTCGGCGGCCGCCTGGGCGAGCTGTACCTCGTCCACGACGTCGAGGTGTGCGAGCACGGGCAGCGGGCCCGGGAACTCGCCCTGCGCCACCTGCTGCTCCTCCGAGGTGCGCCTGAGCGCATCCGCCGCCAGCTGTCGCTCACCGGACCGCACGCTCACACCAGAGCAGCCGCCGATGCGGAATTGCTCCGAGAGGTACGCCGGGTCGTTGAGGTCGAAGCCGCCGAGGGTGGCGCTCGACAGCTGGGGTGAGCCCTCCCCGATGAGCGCCATCGAGCCCTTTGGCTTCTTGATGGCCTTGTGCAGCTTGTCCTTGACGGCCGCCGACGGGGGAGCAAAGTCGCCCTTCTCGAGCGCCTGCTTGGCGGAGGCAGCCGCCGCCTCCGCGGCGGCGCGGACGGCGGCGGTGCCCGCGGCGGAACGGCGGGAGGCCGCGTCCTCGACCGCCATTCGTGCGAGCTCGGCATCGTCGTCCTCCTCCGCACTCTCGTGCTGCTCAACGCGGAGGAGCGGCGCGGGGCGGCGAAGGCCCTCCGCCACGCGCGGGCCAGGGCCCCTCAGCGTCTGGTACGAGGCCGCACCAGCGAGCGCGAAGGCGGTGAGAAGAAAGCAGCGGGCCATGAGAGTGTCGGCCGTGTAAGTGAGCTCGGACGCGAAAAGAATTCGAGGCTGGCGACGCGCCCCCGCTTAAAATCCCTGTGTGGTGGCGGCGTGCCGTCCTCCCATCCCTCCCTTGGGTTGTCTGTTTTCTTTCTTTCTTTTACGCGCCCCCGCTCCGCGCTCGTTCGAGAGAAGCGGCGTGAAAACTTCGAGCCACCCTGCGGCGACCACAGCGCTCACCGCAGGGATAGGCGAGCTTTTCAGAGTCAAGCGATTGCGCGAAATCCCACAATGGTGGATTTTGGGGCGCTGTGGGCCCCCTACCTCCGGCGCCGCAGACCGAAGACGCCGTCTCCACTCCCTCTTATCGGCGGCGGCATTTGCGGTGGCGAGACATCTACAGAAAGAGACACTCGGGGGACGGGAGGGGGCGGCCGGCCTCGAGATGGACTTCGCTTTCTTTCTTTTTAGGACCGAGGGGGGGGGAGCGAGCCCCCTCGGGAGTGGGGGAAGGGAAGCCGCTTAGGGTTTGAAGGGGCGATGTCGGCTGAGAGTGTGCGTCGTAACACGTGTTGCGTCTGCTGTGAGAGACAGAGATTTTTGAGATTTTTAGCAATACCAAACAACTCTAACACTCACACGTCATTTGGGGCCTGGAGCCCTGTTCACGCGCGCGCGAGACGTGCAGACAGGGTTGCCAGGTGAGAGCGAATGGCGCGGTTCACGCCTCGCACAACAGAGAGAGAGATGCGCTCTGCATGGTGGGACATAAAAGAAAGCGAGTACTTGGGCGATGAGATTTTTAGAAGCCAACAAGAAATGTGTGACACACAGTGAAATGGGCTCGGCAGGTTGTCGACTACCGGCCGGAGCCGGAGTCGGAACCGTAGCCGAGATGGTCGTCGAGGGTGTCGAATATCTTTGCTGTCTATTATTAGCTCCGAGTAGAGGGGGCGTTCCGCAGCTAGGGGAAACCCAAAGCGCAGAGCCAACCCCTCGGAGACCCGTGTTTACTTTACGCCCCTTTCCCTGCGAACGCGCACCCCCCAGGGCTAGGGCTTCTCTTGCCCGCAACCCGATCCCAATCATCTGGCCCTCTGGGTGCGCTTCTTAGCCCCCCGGCCCTTGCTCCAAGTGCTCCGAGCATAGCGGATGAAGGTCGCTGCGAGAATACTCTCTAATACTCAATACAGAATTGTGGCGAGACACTGCGAAGAGAGATAGGAAGAGGGGTAGAGACGCCCGAGGGAGGGTGGGTGACGGCTATTACCAAACTCCTGTCCTTAAAATCCCTGTGTGGTGGCGGCGTGCCGTCCTCCCATCCCTCCCTTGCTTGCGTTGGGTTCTCTGTTTTCTTTCTTTCTTTATTCTTCGTAGTTCGTTCACACTTCACTGGCGCGCACACGACGACACGACCCAAGGGCGTGTGGACCGGCGCACGCTGCACAGAATCAGAATTCTCGGAACCGCGTCTACCCATCACCACCATCCGACACCGTCTCCCACCCTCCGCTGCTGCTCCCGCTCCCGCTCCCGCTGCTCCGCCCCTCCCTCCCGCCCCCCTCGCTCTCCGCGACGCTGGCAGCGAGGAGCGCGGCGACGGGCGCGGCGGCTGGCGGCGGCGGCACCTCCCCTCGCGTGGCGTCGTAGTACGCTCCCGCACGTGCCTCCACCGCCGCCTCGCCCCCGGCCTCGAATGCGAAGGCGAGGGGTAGCGACGGCGCCGCCGGGTCGGCGAGACCGTGCGCGTGCGCCTCGAGATGCAGGTGCGGCGTCGGGCAAAAGCCGGCGTCTCCACTCTCGCATAGCCGCTGCCCGCGGCGCACAGGGTCGCCGGCGCGGACAACGGCCGAGCCGGCGCGGATGTGCACGTACTCGAGAGTGGTGGTGCCGTCCGGGAGGAGCTGCACGACCGAGTTGAAGGCGAAGAAGAGGGACGTGTCCGCGCCGCCTCCCGCTGCACAGCCGTCCCGCACCTCTGCAATGGTGCCGTCGGACGCAGCGAGCACTGGCGTGCCCACCGGCGCGTCAAAGTCGCATGCGTGCCACGTCGACGGGTGCGCAAAGTGGGTGAGCGCGCCGCCCGCGGCCTGCGAGCAACGGAAGGGCAGCCCGGCGCCGGCGGAGAGAGGGAACGAGAGCACCAGCGGGTCACGAGGCGCCGGCAGCGGCGGAGGCTGCAGCGGCACGATGTCGGAGACAACGTCCACGTCGTGGATCGACGCGAGTCCGAGGATGACGCAGGCGTCGACCACCTCCTTAGGACTGAGATGGATCACCATCGTCGTCGAAAACTGTGGGCGTCCCTGCTCGTCGCGCCAGCGAGAGCGCGCCAGCACGCCGCCGGCGCCGCGGCACGCATGCCTGCGCACCGACACAAAGACTGCGCGCCCCTCGCAAGTCGGGTTGAGGGCGGTCAGAACGTGGATATTCGGCTCGACCGACAGATCCGGGACCGCCTCTCCCTTTTGCAGCCCGAGGGCACGGCGGGAGAAGGCTCGCCGCCCGAGCAGCCAGGCCGCGCCGGCGTCGCCGACGTGGACGCCGGGCCAGGCTGACATGGCGAGCAGGTCCAGCGATAAGTCGGATGCCAATGCCAGGCAGCCTCCCTGGGACGCTGTCGCCCTGTGTAGCCCCAACGACTCCGCGTGAACTCTGTTCACAGATAGGTTGATAAGAAACAAGAAGCTGACACCGAGCAGCTGGGAGTGGCTGCGGTTAGGCAGACAGGCTGTCGCCCCTCGGAGAGCTCTTTTGAGAGATCAGACCTTTCGATGGTTCATGCTTTCTATGTCGTACTTTTAGCTTACTGTGGGAGAAAAGGGAGAGGCAGGCACGATTTCTAGGCCCCTGGGGGCCCTACCACTCAGCGCAGTCGGAGAAGCCGGTGAACGAATCTTCGGAGAGGATGGGGCAGTCATCACTGCCGCGCTCACTGGGTTCGAGAGATTGTGCGAGAGATTGTGGGAGAGAGCTTGCGTCGGAGTCGTTCCTCCGCTCCCACCTGTCGAGTGCAAGCTTCAGTTCCTTGGAGTCGAGGTACCAGACGCGTCAACCTGCCCTGCGCCCTGAGCAAAGTCGAGCGAGGGCCTTTTCCCTCTCGGCCCGAGCCTGGGCGGCAGCGGCCTGGCGCGTTGCATTCTTCTTTGCGTTTGACGGCTTCTCGTCTTACCGCCTCCATGGGTGCCCGCTCCATTGCCGCTCAAGTGCCCACGCGGGGCAGCAAGGGGCGCTAACTTGCTCGTCCGGACACCTGCCTCCGAAGAGGCATCTGCGATTAAGTCAGCATGCACGCTCAGGGATGATGTCGTCGAGTGCACTCGTAGGGCACTCACTCGGGTGATCCCGCTTTGGTGGCTGAAGGACCCGATGGTCCTGTCACATTCGCGTTCCGAGTCGTGGGGGTAGAAGAATTCGAGTAGAAATCGAGTCAGCACTTCCTTGTAGTACAGCGGACCGCCAGGCTCGCTGGCAGCATCCGCAGGGAGGCAGCATATGAGGCACCAGTTTTCTGGAGAGCTCAACAGCTGCAGCCGCGATGGCAGAGTCGGCCGCGGTTCGAGCGAGCAGCTTTTGGCTGCGGGATCGAATGTATCGCGGAAGGCTCATGCCCTGAGCGACGCGGGTCGCGCGGCGCGCGCGTGTGCGAAAGGCGACAAAAGACGAAAGACGACAGGCGCCTGAGCGCTGTACGCCTGAACTTTTGTCGCCGCAATCGCCACCGTCGCTATCTTGACGAGCAGCGCGAGCGCGCTCGTCGGCGGCCAGCCGTCGCGGGCCGGGCCGAGCCCGGCCTCGACCGGCCGCGCCGCCGCAGCAGGCCGGGAGGCCCGAATGGCGGCCGACCAGCTTTCAAGGACTCTGGTCTTTCCGAAGGAGAAAGAAGAAAGGCGCGCGCAACTCCGGGTTGATTTTGTCGAAGAGAGATAGGAAGTGGTAGACGCCCGAGGGTGGGCGACGGCTAGCACCACACTCCTCTCCTTAAAATCATGTGTGGTGGCGGCGTGCCGTCCTCCCATCCCTGCCTTTTCTGTTTTCTTTTTTTCTTTCTTTGATTGTCAAAATGCGTGTCATGAGTCACCTTCGAGCTACCGCCGCGTGACCCCTGCGCCACCCAAAGGCCCACTCCGATGGCGGCGCCGAGCGTTCCGTTCTCCAAATGGCGCGGATTGTCGCTGTTTTTCTCGCTCTCGGGCTCGTTGAGGGCAACGATTGGCCCAACATCGCGGGCTACACCCCCGGCTCGGACGTGACCAAGCACGCCAACCTCGACCTCGACCAGCGGGCGCGGGCCTCGATTTCACCACACCACGCACCTGCCACGGCCTGTATATGTCAGCGTCACCGAGCCCGAGCCTCCTCCCCCTCCTCGCACCAGGCGCTGGTGCAGGCGCTCAAGGGCGGCACTCCGAACTGGGAACTGGCGAACCACTCCTACGCCTTCGGCAATTTTTCGCTGTCGGGCAAGGCCCCCAACGGGCTCCGCACCATGAAGGGCTTCTCCACCGGCGCCGAGGGCAAGATGTACAACGGCTGCGACGGCTGCCCGTACAAGACCTTCTCGGTCTTCTACGACTACTACGAGGACTTTGACTATGCGGACAAGTGGGTGAGCGCCGCCCTCGACGGCACCAACATGACCTTCAGCAGCGGGCGGCACGGCCCGAACGACTTCGCCACGCTCGGCGACGCCGCGCGGATCGAGGCGGTCAAGAAGGGGACGGCGTACATGAACGTGTGGATGTACGTGATCCGCGAGTTTGAGGACGCGATCGACGACTGCGAGACCTGCGTGAACGGTCTGAACTGCAACGAGTTCTCGGACTCCCTCTCTACGGACAGCCCTCAGTACAATGCGGTGCACGCGTGGGACGAGGGCGTCGCCTTCTACGCCGGCTCGCTCGAGGGCCCGAACGTGGGCGGCAGCTCGGCCGGCGAGATGGTTTACCGGCTCGCGGAGAAGCGGTGCGCCAACTTTGGCACCTGCGAGTCGGGGGAGACGGGGCTGTCGAACGTCAACAAAAAGTTGCTCGCGGACTTCATCGCGGGCGAGGCGCTCCTCATGAAGGGCCTCTGCCACGCCGTGCGCCCCATCGTCGACAGGATCATCAAGCAGATGACGGTGCCGCTCGTGCAGGGCTCGCTCCGCTACGCGTACAAGGTCGGCATGGCGCCGGAAGCCACCGATCGGTCGCAGAAGAACGCGGCGGAGGGCGCCGTCTTCACGGCGGCCGTGCTGCCCCTCGTCCACGAGTGCAACGTCGCCGCCGCCAAGACCATCAGCGACGAGATGAAGTTCGGCCTGTACGACCAGGGCGTCTTCCCCGACTTTGCGGCGGTCAAGGCCGCCTTCGAGAGCACCTACGACTGCCTCGGCATCACGTGCGCCGACGTGGGCGGCCTCTCGGATACCGGCGTGGCGGCGCCCTGCAGCGAAACGAGCCCTTGGCCCGACATCGCGGGCTACACCCCCGGCTCGGACGTGACCAAGCACGCCAACCTCGACCTCGACCAGCAGGCACTGGTGCAGGCGCTCAAGGGCGGAACTCCGAACTGGGAGCTGGCCGAGGACTGGTACGCCGTCGGCGGGTACTCGCTGTCGGGCAAGGCCCCCAACGGGTTCCGCACCATGAAGGGCTTCTCCACCGGCGCCGAGGGCAAGATGTACAACGGCAACAACTGCGCCGGCTGCCCGTACAAGACCTTCTCGGTCTTCTACGACTACTACGAGGACTTTGACTATGCGGACAAGTGGGTGAGCGCCGCCCTCGACGGCACCAACATGACCTTCAGCAGCGGGCGGCACGGCCCGAACGACTTCGCCACGCTCGGCGACGCCGCGCGGATCGAGGCGGTCAAGAAGGGGACGGCGTACATGAACGTGTGGATGTACGTGATCCGCGAGTTTGAGGACGCGATCGACGACTGCGAGACCTGCGTGAACGGTCTGAACTGCAACGAGTTCTCGGACTCGGACAGCGGTCTGTACAATGCGGTGCACGCGTGGGACGAGGGCGTCGCCTTCTACGCCGGCTCGCTCGAGGGCCCGAACGTGGGCGGCAGCTCGGCCGGCGAGATGGTTTACCGGCTCGCGGAGAAGCGGTGCGCCAACTTTGGCACCTGCGAGTCGGGGGAGACGGGGCTGTCGAACGTCAACAAAAAGTTGCTCGCGGACTTCATCGTGGGCGAGGCGCTCCTCAAGAAGGGCCTCTGCCACGCCGTGCGCCCCATCGTCGACAGGATCATCAAGCAGATGACGGTGCCGCTCGTGCAGGGCTCGCTCCGCTACGCGTACAAGGTCGGCATGGCGCCGGAAGCCACCGATCGGTCGCAGAAGAACGCGGCGGAGGGCGCCGTCTTCACGGCGGCCGTGCTGCCCCTCGTCCACGAGTGCAACGTCGCCGCCGCCAAGACCATCAGCGACGAGATGAAGTTCGGCCTGTACGACCAGGGCGTCTTCCCCGACTTTGCGGCGGTCAAGGCCGCCTTCGAGAGCACCTACGACTGCCTCGGCATCACGTGCGCCGACGTGGGCGGCCTCTCGGATACCGGCGTGGCGACGGCCTGCCAGGATGCCGTTCCCGACGGAGACGACGACGACGACGGCGGCAACACCGGCGCCATCATCGGGGCTGTCATCGGCGGGGTCGCACTTGGCGTGCTCATTGGCGCCGTCATCTTCCTTCGCTGCCGCAAGGCCAGGCTCGCCAGTCCGGTCCCGGTCGACATGATGGCGCCGAAGGAGGGCAGCTCCGAGCTGGGCTGCGAGCAAGCCTGAGCGTGCCGTCTGCGGCGACGGAACCGCCGCGCTGCGCGGCTGCATGTCTGGAGCCTCGGCCTCTTTCTGTTTGGACTGTGTTCTCCCGCCTTTGTTGTGTTGAATAGCACGAGTCTGGTGTCCTCTTGAGGAGATGTTAGCTAGATGGATGTTGTAGTTAAGTAGAGCCGTAAAGCGTAATGGCTAAAGCAGTAGTGCGTAGAGCATCTCTCTGCATGCAGATATATACTTTCGTTTTTAGGTTAGGTAGGTAAGGTAAACGTCTCCACACACACAAAGTGGTGGGGCAAGGGGGGGCGACCCTCGCATCTCCACGCCCGGGACACGGGCAGGAGCCCCACGGCATTCAAAGTGCAAGCACCGGCCCGGTGCCGTGGGTGAGCAACCTGCACCCCACTCCCTCCCTCCCAGACACAACCCGCACACAACCCCCACAGCGTGGTCGTCTACGTGTTCAGAAACACCAAGCAGCGAGGCGAGGGTGAAGGGGTAAGGGGCTGTGTGGGGCAGAATCTTCATCCGGCTTATCTGTGACTACTCCATCTAGCCTGGGGGGTCGCAGGAGGGGGGGGCAGAAGGTCAGATATGGGTGAGGCCAGGGGTGGGGACCTAGAATAAGTCAAAGGACATGTTCTCGGCCCCGCCATCGCCGCCGTCGCCCTCGTCCGCCTCGGAGGCGGAGGTCGTCGGGCGGGGCGTCTCGCCCGTCGCGAACCTGCCGCCGAACACGGCGTCGGCCGGCGCCGAGGCGCCGGCAGCCGTGATCAGCTCGGCAACCTTTCGGTCCCTGCAGGCCGCATCAATTTTGCCTCGCCGGGACGGCTCGTAGAGCTCGCTAGCGAGCCAGTCCCGGGCAACCTTCGTCGCCACGGAGCCCATAGGGACCGTGGCGTACACCATGTCGCCGAACCCGCTGCCCCCCTCGGGAGGGAGCGAGTAGGCGACCTGAATCTTGGACCCGGTGGGGATGCGCGCCGCCTGCGCCGCAGCCTCCAGGCCCTCCATCACGAAACCTGAGACTAGAGTTCATTTACTCTGATTGCCACGCGGTAGCACTAAAAAATTCTCATCAGGCAGACACAACGTGTACGTAAATGGTAAAGCACCCCCCTCACCTACGCCTCGTTGCAGTCGCCCCCACGACCAGCTCCGCAAGGCCCGAGGCGAGGGTGTGGCAGTACTCGACGCTGGCCAGGGGCACGCGTACCGCGTTCCCGCCCTCGCCCCGCGGCTCACCAGCGCGCAATTCTGGGGAGCAAAGCACCACGGCCGGCCCCGCCGCGTCGAAGCTGAGCTCGGTCAGATCGCGCAGCGCCACCTGCCACTCCAGGCGGAGCCCGGTGACCGCCTGCGCCGCCTGGCCGCCGCCGCCGCCAGCGTGCGGCAGGTGGACGAGCATCAGCCTCTCCACAGAGACGAGCAGCAGCGCCTCGGCCGGCCCACGCGGCGCGCACAGCGCGCAGCAGACGAGCGGCTCGGCTGCGTACCGGCCGCCCTCGACGGCCTGCGCTGCGCCCCAGCCGGCGGCGTCGACGGCGTCGTAGCGCCGGATGGCCGCCGCCGGCCCGTAGAGCATGCGCGGCAGCCGGAGCCGCTCGCAGGCGCCCCCTGCGCCCTCTGGCCGGCCCGTGTTCTTTATTCCCTCGGACACCTTGGCGCCGAGCTCGAGCATGCCCGCCGTCGGCTTGAGCGCCACGCCGGCGAGCCCTTTGCCGAGGCCGCGCGCAAAACCCGACACGCCGCCGCCGTCGCGTGCGCCGCGCATCGGCGCCGCGACGATGCCGGTCAGGCCGTGAAAGAGACCACGGGACAGCCCGACACCGCCCTGCGCTATGCCCTGGGCGATGTTGCGCGCGGGAGCGACCGGCGCATAATCGCCGCCGCCGTTGAGCGTGCCCGATCTCGCGACGTGGAGCACGATCCGGTGGAGCTGGCGCAGCGTCTCGGCCTTGTAGTGCGAGCCGAGCTGCCGCTGCAGGCGCGCGCGCTCCAGAAAGATGTGGCGCCGCTCAAAGGGGCGCAGCCGGAGCGGCAGCCCGTCAAAGTTGGGCAGCGAAAGAGGCAGCCGCACCCCGCTCCGCGCCTGCCGCGCCACAACGGATGGCAGCCGCCGGTGCGAGACGCTCAGCCGCGCCTCGGCCATCGACAGCTCGTCAACGTACCACGGCCGCTTGCGTGCCGTCGCAGGAGGAGGCAGCGCGACAGCGCCGAGCGCCGGCTCCGCCGCCGCGCCCTCGCCGAGGCCAGCCTCGCCCGCCGCCGCCGCAACCGCCGCGCTCAGCCGCGCGCCAAACCCGTGCACTGCGCCGAGAAACGCCTCCTCAATCTGCAGCTGCGTGTCGCTCAGCGAGATTGTGAGCTCGCGGATCCGCTTCTCCGTCCGCCGGCGCGAGACGTTGAGCTGCAGCCAGCCCGGCGCCGCCTCGGCGGCCGCCTCGCCGAGCAAGACGGTCGTCAGCCCGGCGCGCGGCAGCTGGTTGTCGAGCTGCAGCCGCGTCACCAGCAGCTGCCACTCGAGCTCAGTCGCCGACTGCATCGCCGAGATCACGATGGGAGCCGCGCGCGCATACGCCAGCTCGGAGCGGCGGCCGCGGACGTCGACCAGCGAGAGGCCGGCGGAGGCGATGAGGAAAGAGAGGGAGAGCGAGAGCTCGGCAGAGCGCGCCGCGTCAGTCGGCAGCCGCGGCGAGATCCGGAGGGCGCGGTGCGACTCGCCGAGAGACGTGACCGTCCAGAAGCGGGGCGGCGCGCCGTGTGCCACCGGCTCGCCGAGTGCGTCCACCGCAATCTCATACTGCTCGAGCGCTCCAGCATCGCCGAGCGGCGAGAGCAGCAGCACGCGCTCGCCGAGCGGCTCGTCCCACGCGTACGGCAAAGTGCCGCGCGCCGGCGCGAGGTGCTGCCGCTCACACCCCTTCTGCCGGACGGCGAGGGGGGCGCCGCACTCGTTGTGCAGCACGTAAGGCGGCACCCCCGCCGCGTCGAGGCAGACGAGCAGCCCGGCGTCGCTTTCCTCGACGAGCACGTCCACCAGCAGGCCGGGCCGGCCGGGCACGCCCACCACCAAGTCGTCTCGCGAGGGCTCGAGGGCGAATGCGCCGCTCCACGCGGCGCCGACCCCGCCGGTCGCGCCCGCCGTCGGCAGCGGGGGTGTGCCGCCGTCCGTGGCGACGTGTGCGAGGCGGAGCATGCGCTCGGCCGACGGCGTGCCACGCCAGTGGAGCGGCTGCGGCTCCAGCTGGCCCGCCGGCAGCACGACGGGCGGGACAGTGGGCGGCAGCAGGCTGGGCCTCGCCGACGGGGAGAGCGCGATCG